GCCCCAGCTGTGCTGGCGGCATTCTGCCCTTGCCGGGCAGCGGCAGCAGCAGGGACACGTCTGTCCCTGGGCCACTGCTGTGCCCGTGTAAAGTGCAGTGGAATGGCATCACTCCGAACTGCGTGTCGCGAATCTTTGCCCTTCGGAAACACAGGGCAGAATTCCCATCTGGGGCTGGCACATCTGAACGGGCAGGACAGAGCCCGAGGCTGTAATGTAAACTCCCGAAAATTAGACTTGTAAGTCAACTACCTGGGGCAGTTCAACTTTAACTCGTCATCTCATGTGAGATGCACTGGAATAACTGAATTATAGATAACTTTTGTTCTAATACAGAAAACAAAAGCCAGTTTATATCTGCAGGTGTTTTCATGCGTATTTTTTACTGGTTTGGTTTAGTTTTAGTTTGTCTATTACTTCTGGTGGAATACTAAAATGCTTTTGTGGTGATTGGTTCATACTTCATCTTCCCAGTCACTAAATTGTAGCTAACGAGTTTAGAAAGGACGAGATGAGCCTCCCTGTCCTCGTTGGAGTTTCAGGGTACACCACTTTGCTACCAAGGTTCTGACTGTGTCAAGAGAAAGGTTACCATCAGCCCTGGAGTCAGAGTTTGGGCTAGCTCTTCAGTGAAGGCCTTCTTAGAAACATAGAAAACAGAAATATTCTCTTACCAACATGGTTCTGCTGCTGGTTTCCCCCTAATTTTACATCATCTTTGTTTCTAGACACGTAGGTCTGAACTCCAGAAGCCCTATAACACAAACAACTGCCTGGTCACAGCAAGAATCCCAGATATGATACTTGCCTAAATCATGACTGGAAGTTGTAACATTCCTTGAGGTCACTTTGAGTGAAATTCTTGTTGATATGTAGAATGGGTGCAGTTCCTTGAGAAATAACTGTTTTGTTTGTTTGTTTGTTTTACAGGTATACAAGTAGAGCTGGTTCACATAAGAACTTACCTAAAATCAATATTCTTGAAAACTGAGAGACAATAATAAAAGTTTAAGCACAGTTAATTACTAGGGAACTCTTCCTTGTTAAAGTGGTTCCTACACAGATGTGGAAGAGTGTAGTTAATATCATTACATATTGAAATGCTTCATGGGATGCTGGGGATATAGAGAAGGCTGATGTCTTCTGACAATTATTCTGAGCAATAAGCTGATAGACATAATGAATTTAGTAATGAAATACTAAGGTTTAATTCCCATATTGACAAATCTGCTTTAAATTTTTCCTTCAACATTTTCCTCAGTGTTCCATGGCACTGAATAATGTAATAACACATACTCGCATTTCTCCACGCATTTTATTTTGTGTTTGTTCCATATTTTAGTGTCTTGTAGAAGCCTTAAGAACTTGCGAAAAAAAATTGTTTGCATTTACTTGAAATAATAATAAAAATGAACACACACACAAAAGTATCAATTAGAGGGGTCTTATTAAACAACTACAATTAATTTATTTATCAAAACTGTCCGTTCACTCCCAGCAATATTATGTAGTTTTTCTCAGTGGACAATAGCTTTGAGTTTAGAGTTGATAGACAAAACCAATTTTAAAACATTGGTTTTGATGGAAGAAAAAGGTTTAAAACATTAAAAAAAAATTCCTTTCTCTTAAAATGCACTTGGCTTTAAATCTTTAAATGCATGCCTGAAAGACTTTTGATGGAATATTTTCCTTTTTCAGCCAGTTTCATCCTTGTCTCACTGACAAAAGTAGATGTGAGTTTTGATTTTCCATGAAGTGCATGTCACAAGAAATTTCTCATGAAAAATTGCAACAGCAATTTCCAGCTGACTTTCCAGATATGTGAGATAGTTTTCCCTGAGAATCCTGGGTGATGACAACAACATTTAAGGGGAAGAAGAGTCTTCCCAGGGTTAGAAAACATTGCAAGCAACAAAATTCTGTCTTCCTTTAGCAATATAGCAACTGCACAGTTAAGTGATATTTTAAATATATTTAGGTCACATATCTTAAACCTCAAATGCATTTTAGTTTAAAATATGATTTTCTAATTTGAAATGCTTATATTTCTATTTTTTGAAATTAGCTCTTATATTTATGGATACACTCTTACAGTGTTTAAAGAAGAGGGAGGCATTGCATTTCTTCCTTCTGGAAAGCAGAGAGAAAGAGACTGTACTATGAGACTCCCAAGCAAACCACCTTTGCCCCTGTCCCAGAACAGGCTTGCAGATAATAAAAAGGAAATAAAAATGGGTGCAGCAGCACCCATCCCTCAGCCTGTCAGCTGCCATCAGTCTCCCTTTGGCACCAATGCATTAGACAAAGGTAAGAGAGGCAAATCCTGCACACAACTGAGCCTGAGCTGACACAAAGAGTTTTCCCACAGAAGGAGAGTTCTGCAAAACACCTTTGAGTCAGCTGGCATTTCAAATTGTCACAAAACACAAAGAGTTGAATTTTATGTGAGGTAAGGAAAACCACTTCTCACTGAGTTTTTATTAATAAGGGATGTTTTCAGAGCGCAGCTAGAGTCTGACCCAGAGAAAAGTCAGAAACAGGACTGGTACACTGGCACTACAAGCAAACAGTACAGTGTGTGCACAGCTTAGGTCATGGCTGTCACTGCTCCCATCCCACTGCCAGTGTCAGTGACACTCTGATTTGTAGTGGTCAAAGGGCAGAAATGAAGCGGTGGCAGTGGGAGGTAAAGGCAAAGAGGAAGAAGAGGAAGGGAGCTCAAGCCCTGACAGAAATAGGACACTCCCATTTGGGGACACAGCTGTGTCCCAGGCAGGACTGAGGTTTGTGCCCCCAGCAGCTCTCAGTGCTGGGTGCAGGCGTTGCACCCACATCAGGGGCTGAATCACTTCCACTGAGTGTCCTGTTTCCTGCACTGGGGGCATGTAAAGCAGCCACAACACAGAAATGAACAGTTTCCAAACAGCTGGGGACATTTGTCCAGTGGGGACATTTTAGGCCTTTCAACTTGAAATCAGTGACTGTACTGATTCTCTCAGATTCACACAGCAGAAGGTAAGGTATGCCTGTATATCTTCAGGCAGAATTTCAAGACTCAGAGCTTGAGCACTGTGTGGCAGAGGGAGACCCACGTCACTTGTATGTCTTCTTTTAGCCTCTCCCACCACTGCCAATTGCTTAGCATTCTTTTCACCATTGTGATTTTGGGTTTTTTAATTCATTAGACAGCTTGGCTTCTTAATCAGAAAACATCTTCCTCCAAAACCAATCCAGCTTGCTCCAAGTCATCATTAGTGGGCTTCATTTTTTGGAAATGCACCCCAGGTGTACCACTTTCCAGGCGGAACAACCATCATGGATCTCAACAGGAGTGTGTAATTTACATCACAGGGATTCATGACAACATATGGGAGACTTATTAGAACAAAGAGCAGAAGAAAAGTGATGGAGTATCACAGTGAAAGCAAGAGATGAAAGGGAGAACAAATGCAACATGCATTACACCAGGCAATTACAATGGGGAATGTGTTAGCCATGGCATGACTCTTTCCCTTTTTATGCCTTCTTATTCACGCAGCGCATCTGAGCCTACACTAATTCCTTTTTTTCATACACCTCTCACGTGCCTAAAATGTAAAAATAAAAAAATCCAACCCAAGTTTGGTGCCTAACATATTTAAGTGTGTGTTAAAATATCGAGATTGAATATTTTTATATGAAAAAGCTGATATGTTTATTATGCTGTCTGATCAAATTCTCTGAGTAATTGGGAAAGGAGGGGAAGAGCCAGAGTTTTCACAGTAAAATACAGCTATGATGCTTTAGAGGAAATAAGTAATTGAACCCCCAGAACAACTGTTTGATCCTGAAAGGGATTATTTGAATTGAGATACTTAATGAAGGAACACGTGTTACATGTGTTAAAATAGACCTTGCACTCAGAAAAAAGTTCTTACTGTTGCTTCTGTCGTGTACAAGTTGGATAAATGTTCTCACAGTGTTCCCCATAGGCCTAGTCATAGCTTGCAGTTGTAAAACTGCCTCTCAGCGTTTGCAACACCCTTTACCAACCAACCAAACTCAAACACAGTCACTTCACCCAAGTGACAGGGATGGGTCAGGGCACTTCTTAAATACTTTATGAATTTTATAAGCAGCATTGCTGCAATCATCAGCATTTTTATCCACACAGTTTTCCTCTGTAAAGGTAGCCTGCTAGCTTAGTCTCATGTATAGTTAGCTTTGATCATAGAAAAACCCTTTAATGTCATCTAAAGTTAAAACCCATAAAGGTTTAAAGCCATCTCTGATGTTTTAGGGAACTTCCAGCATCTGTGTGTCACCTCTTTGCTGTCTGCTT